CCCTAATACACTGCGATTTATTTCAATCGTTGCATGCAGCTACAGCTCAAACTCGCAGTGTGAGTTCACAGCTCACAATGTTTGTTCTCACACTGTGCAGCCCGACACTCTGATGCGATCTGCCTGCTCACACTGTATGTCTAAAAACCACGTCGGACTCGGCTCAGCACTGGGATGGCGCTACTCTGACTCGTCCATCTGGAAGCCAAACGAGCAGAAGAGCAAAAAGACGGAAGTGTCTCCTGTTAAATATAAAACTCACTGGAGTGAAACGCGCTGCCTTGGCAATTTGTTCAATTTTGTGCTGAAAGCTCTAAAAAATAAAAGGCAATGACATATTTGGACAAAGACGTGGCTGAGCAAACGTGGCTCCTACAGTCTGTCAATTCTACAGAAGAAACTCCATTTCACTCATTGCCCCCCCGCCATGCTTCTGTGCTTTCTTCAGGGAGGAAGAAGAAATAGAATCTTTTTTTGCGCATTGATCAGTTTTAGTGTAACTTCCAGCCGCTGGCCTTCTCCTGGGGCTCATTTTTTTTTACTCTGACTCCACCTTTTCTCTGAATTACAGGGTCTGACCAGAGGATAATGCTTCTCTTTAGATCTTAATGTCCACAAATCATGACAGAAAAAATATTGATGTTTAAAAAGAAATTGTAGAGAAGCAGCCAAAGACCCATCAAGGGAAGTTTTGAATGGCTACTACTACACGTGCTGCAGCGTCCTGATGCCACCAAAGCCTCAAACCATAAATCTCAGAGCCTGAAAGGATGTTTGAATAAAATGATTGCATTGCTGTCAATTTTGTCAATTTTCTTCATAAGTAGTTTAATAGTGAGATGATCAATTAAAACATGAACTGCTCTGTGTTTTTCTGTATTATTAAAGGAGTCATTATTTGCAAAGAAAACAAACTAGCAAAGGCTCCATGGATTGACTGCCATGAAGAGAACAGGTCTGAGGCGTCTCTCTGCGCTTCTTGCTTTTTAAACACTCATAGAATAAAGACAGGACAATCGGCCCTTTGAGAAGAACCCGGTGAGGCCAATGATAACTAG